AAAAAAAAAAAAAAAAACACAAAAACAGAGATATCAATGGGAGACTACACCACTTCAAATGGAGATCAGTCACTCCCACAAAAAGAGATTAACAACAAACTAGAAAAAAAAAAACACAAACAACAAAAACAATACAACCAACAAATAACTTAATAGAATAGAATTATACCTCCCCTACTACTCGCGAGCACACGAGTGTTGCACAGCCCAACACATCGACCAGTCTCCCAAACTAAAAACAAAAAGAGAACTATCAATCTAAGACCCCTAGATCTGAAATCTCCGGACTAAACTCGAACAGCTAGCCAGATATAGCAAGGTGAAAACCTCGGGGCCAGATCTAAGCACTCAAGATGCTTCAAGCCAGGAAAAAGGCAAAACGAGATACACATCTCGAAGCCTCATCGGAGGAGCGACAGTCGCCGGTCTGAGCCAAGGCCAGATAAAGATGTGAGGCGAGGGAGCCCGCCAACGAAGCCCCTGTCTTCAGCAATAAAGGCTGGGCGGAGAGGAGAAAGCTACCGGTTCCAAGCCCAATCCATGGTCGGAGAGGTGCTTCAAATGTCGACATCAACGGGGAGAAGGGGGAGCCGCTACAAATTTTAAATTTTCCTTCTGTAGAAACTTTGAGAGAATAGGGAGAAAGGTTTGAGAATATGATGACAAGTTACACTTTGCCTACCAAACTTTGGTTTTTGTACACTTTGCCATTTCTGGTCATTGTTGGCGAAACGTGGCAATAAAGCACAGAAGCACGTATTGGTTTATGACGCTGACAGTGACCAGAAATGGCAAAGTGTTCAAAAATAAAAGTTAGGTAGGCGAAGTGTAAAAAAAAATTGTGGGCAAAGTGTAAATTTCTTTATAGTTAGATAGGTAAAGTGTAATTTTTCCTATTTATGCTTTATGTGAACTTTTATATCAAACTAGAATTCCCCATGTATATTCCCTTTACAATATGACAAAACGACCTCATTTGTGATTTTTTAATTTTATATTATAACGAAAAATTTATAGAGGAATTAATAATAGAATATTATTGCTTAGTTTTCTTTTATGTCCAAAGTGAACACGAGTTAATATGTTCACTAACGTGGCAAGAGATTAACACACCAAACCATATACAATATTATATGATGGGTCCTCTCAAAGATCTGGATCGAACTGGTTGAAATGAGCTTTGATCTGCCTGAACTTCTGCTTACGTGCCTGCAAGAACTCAACACCGGAGGAGTTTTCGGCAAAGAGCCTTCTATGCTTAAGTCACTGTCAAGAAAATGATGATGATGCTTTGTAACTCAGAGCAATAGGCAGCCTCCTCGGCTGCACAGATTTCAATGCTTAACCACAACCTAATCATCTCTTAGTCAGATCCTAGTTATCCAAAGCTTTATTCTTATCCCCTTAAGATTCATCGTTATCTTTTAAGCCCATTTAATCTCGGGCCGCAATCTGCAATAAGAACCTCTACTTCAGGCTGCAAGGCAAATTAGGTCGTCTTTTAGGTGATAGAGGTCGACTTCGGCAACATATTGAGGGTCGACTCATCCAATGTCCTTTCGTCTGGACCGAGTTGTTCTATGATCAAATCATCACCTTTCAAGTCTTTATCTCTCTGGTCGAGCCGTTACAAACTCCTCAAATCATTTCCTTTGAATCGTTATGCTCTTGAAATATCTATCTCACGTAGACCTATCAGAGTTGACGCATAACCCAATCGAGCTTTCAACACTTAACCTGGTCTGCGCGAGTATGACTATATCATCTATCCCCATCCCCTCCCTAAATTTGGTCTAACCAATCTCGAGCTTAGAAGTAAAATTAGTCGCAGAACTCCTGACATTCTGACACATTGAGTCTACATCGTTTCGCAATTTGACTCTTAGATTCTCATACTCGCTCTGAACCGTTAGACCCCTCATGATCTAAGCATACACATTATAGAGGTCAAGTATAAATACCCACTCCTCTTTCATTTACACACTTCATTCTATCTGCAATTTTGAGCCCTAAGTATTTTCCGACGCTCCTCAGCAATCCCAGTGCTTTCTTCAATCCTAAGTTTCTTTCCGAATCTCCAATCATTCTTCATGAGTATATTCCCTTAATTTATGCAAATTTTTATGTTTTTTCCTGGGTTTTAGTCTGTTTTTCTCTGCATGTTCTTCATACTTTCTATGATCTTCATGTAATTTCTGGTAAATGGAAAGTGTTGATCTTCAAGTATCTTGATCTTATTCTTATAATTATTTTGCGCAAGCCGACTTAGTTAGACATGTTATTTAGGTTCTTAAATTTTCTGTTGTGAACTCGAATTAGTCGTAATTTTATCTGATCGCGACCTCCCATCTTAATATGCACTATAGAGATTATTTTCCTGATTTAGTTAGTCGTTTGGTTGACGGGACCCTCAAATCTTCTGATTCCTCTGTCCAAATAATAGGCCTCGAACTAGCTCGCAATCAAGGTAACACTGGGGATGTCAACTGAGAAGATTACAATCATGCTCCGAGGTCGAGCTCCCTAGAAGTTTCCCCTTGATTTGAACTTATTACTCGAGGTATTCCTTTTAGGTTCTTAGACATTCTTGTATATATGACTAGTCCAACTCCTGTGCCAATAATTGATCCTCTTCTTGACCCACATACTCTTGTTCATGTCCTTTAGCTAGGATAGTAGGTGTGTTCACAGTGATAGCACCAACCCAACCCCTTTTCTTAGGCCACTGCAGTCGAGCTTATGGGCTTTAAGTCATATTGCGGATTGCCCTCCTATAGGGATCTGATCGCTCCAGGTCCCAGTGATGATTATGTTCATCCTCCTCGCGGCTATTATGCCTTTTTTATGGATCATGTCATGTTTGGTCTTCATTTTCCCATCCATCACGAGCTGCTTATACAGTAACTTGCACCATGTTCTTGTTAAATCAGTTTGCTCCCAATTAGATTCATATCATGGTAGCCTTTATCATGATATAAAAAATAGAACTTCGCGAGTTCTCGCCTGAACATTTCTTTTATTCTTACGGTTAAAAATTCATGAAAGGGGTGCACTGCTTGGGTCGTCGTGGGGCTATATTTTTAGACGATTTTGCCTCGAACATAACAGAGTGGAAGTAGAAATTCTTCTATATTTCACCTCTCTCTTGATATTTTTCCTTTACCGACACCTGGTTAATGGAGAAATTTAACCACCATAGTAAGTTGTGATCTGCTCAAGTCACGGAAATGGTAACAAAATTTAACAAACGCACTTGAAGTGCTTGTCAAATGGTTAAAGATCCTACTATGCAATACCAACCAATGCGGTATCACTCAAGAGAGCGACACTCCCTTTGTTCATGACCTCGGTAGGTCTTCATTCATTATATTTCGAGATCTTACTCATTTCTTTTATTCTCATTACTTTCCTTTTTTCGTAGATTCCTATCTTCAGAGGTTTGGGATAAAGAAGCCGAAAAAACCCGAGGGCATGCCTGCAAATCGTCCTTCTCCACCTAAAAAACCCTCGGTCGGCTCCAGCTCAAGCCATGACAAAGTCCTGGTTAAAAAGATCACGTCTCATGATGCGACAATCGAGAGTCCCTACATTACCAAAAAGTCTAACCCCTCTGGCTCCCAGTTGCGCAAACGTGCGCCAAATAGCGGGACTTCAAGTTAGTTCCTGACGAGTCCAAGCGCCTCAAGGAAAAGGAGGTCGCTCACTTTCCTCCTACTTCTCCTCCCTCTCTTCCTGCTCCTCCTATCACAGTTCAACCCGTCACCTTGGAGCGGCCTTCACGATTTCATAACAACAATGAAGACCATGAGATTACGAGTTATCTCTTCTCCGCTCTTACTGAGGAGGACAGATCTCGTCTTAAGACCGACCCCTAAGACAGAGCCTTCTGTGTTGCTCGTGCTCTGGCAAGAGTTATAATCTCCTTTCCTGCCCTTAGTCTTGTTTAGGTTGTTATTGCTAAATTGCGACTTATGTAGGTTGTTACTGTTGAATTGTGTTTTATTTTACTTTTAGTTCCTCACGGCTATTCTTCCTACCATGGTGGAAGTGACCTCTTCTCCTCACTGTAACATGGTAGCTTTAGGAAGGAGTATCAGACTAAGGTAAAACAACTCAATGAGAAGACTGAGAAGCTCAAGGCTAAGGTAAAACAACTCAACCAAATTGCAGTCCAAGAAAGCCGTGGCCCTTCAAAAGATCTAGAAGATGGGGGTCGACCTCGATAAGGCCCAAGAGAAAAAGGAGGTCGAGGTCTTGGTGGGAGATGAAGGTTAGGATTCTCGAGGGGCGCAAATAATTTTTGAAGTCTCTCATCGGCTCCGTGTTCCTCAAGACCTATCGCCAAGAGGTCGTCTAGTAGTTCGTCATCTCTTCCGCCTTCCTAGAGCAGATCATCACCGCAGCGTTGCACTACTTCAGTTTATTGTTAGACGCGTGTGAATCAGTTGTGGTCTAAATCGACTTCTATAGTCATCTCGAAAACGACCAGGGTAGGGCTGATTTGTAGCTCCCGAAAGGGTATCTGGGTGACCAGACTCTACCGCTTGGACATCCATGGTGGGTCGGTCTCTAGGCCTGTGCCATCCAAAGGATGGGTCTATCTACGCAACTTGAGCTTCCCCCAACCCCTCTGGCTGGTCCTGTCGAGCTAGTTGGGACTCGTGGGGCTAATCCTGAGGCAACAACTGGTGCTGTCTAGATTGAAATGGTCAAGATGACTATTACCAACCCTCGACTCTTTTTCAATTATTCATTTTGTCTATAATGGTCCTAAGAATAGAATATTTTCAAGCTTTTCTTCATGACCTGTCTTTGGTGCTTTTGTTTAAGGTCGTGATGTCCTGTACTCTTCATAATTTGTTCAATGCATTTACTCGTTTTGGTAAAGAATATGATTTTTGTTTCATGAATGTTTCACGTTGTGTTGCTATTTATGATTTCGTCTTCGTAACTCCTATGCATTGCTTTATCTGGAATCTTATTCTTAATTAATTTTCAAGTCACGATGTTTCTCTCACGACATACTAAAACTAGCACTACTTTCCCAATGCCTGCTTATTTTGAGAACACGATTTTCTTTAAGTAGCGATAGATGAAATGGTTATTAGGTCGCAGTGACCTTTAAGCCGTGGTACTCGTTTAGTTGATTGTGTTTATATTTATTCGTCATCTATTCTAAATCGTGATATATATTTAGTCGTCATGTGCTTTTGTGACTTCAAAATCATGATGTATCTTATAATATTCAAACCATAGTATATCCTTGCCCAACCGAGCTTGCCAGCTGTTCGAAATTATAACAAGCGAGCAAATTTTAGCTAGCTTCATAGTTGTTTCAATCTAAAATCTTTTAATTCATGACCTCGCCCAACCCGGCTTGCGAGCTGCTCAAAGATAGAATCAACAAGCAAATTTTAGCCAGCTTCGTAGTTGTTTCAAACTAAAATTTTTAATTCACGACATCGCCCAACCCACTTGCGAGCTGTTCAAAGTTGGAATCATCCAGCAAGTTTTAGCCAGCTTCATAGTTGTTTCAAACAAAAAATTTTAGTTCACGACCTCGCTGAACCC